TCCCCCAACCAAAATACATTTTTAATGAAGATCTACCAAAGCTTCAAGGAACAAAACACTCATGTGCTATTCAAGATGTCTGGTGCACACCAAAGATGAAAGCCTTCTTAACTTATTAGAAAAGATAAGTATAACCTAGTTTGTATGCCACAAGGAAACAAAACTGTAGGCCAACCTCACCTGCGAAGACAGACGCAAATATCTATGTAAAATATTAGTAGCATTATTTCAAAAGAACAATGCTTTTCATAAACTATTTCACATATTACTATTAGTATGGGCAATTTTGTTAGTGTTACAGAGACAAAACACTTTTATTTCAATCAAGAAATTACCCAAAATCCAAAACTTTTTGAGTGTCAGCATGATTTTCAAAGGGAACACTCATTAGTGCATTTCACATTTTGGATTTTCAGATTAGATGCTCAACTGGTATGTATTCTGAAAATATTCCAAAATCCAAAACACTTCTGGACCAAAGTACTTTTATTTAATGCTTTTACCCAAAGCATTTTGGATAAAAGGTACTCAACCTGTAGTTATATACTTATTTTTTAAATATTTTATTTATGGCAAGTGATAAATGTTTTTCCACTTACTATATGCATAGAAATACATACATTTAAGGGAGAATTCACAGAAAAATAGAATAGTACAGAGTACTTATAGCAGTGGCAAGAATCATGAAGAAGGCAAGCAAATACATGAGACTCTGGGAACCCTGAAATATGTAATATGATCAAAATGGCTTTCTATCAAAAATGTAAGTTTAGCTTCATATTAGAAAATCCATTAGGATGATTTACTATATTAACAGATTAAAGGAAAACAAATCATATGATCATCTCAATAGAAGACAGAAAAGCATTTATTAAAATTCAATAGTCATCTGATTTTAAATAAACTTAAAGAATTAGAAATAAAAGGAGGAATTCCTTAAATTGATAAAAGGTATCTTTAAGAAACCTATAGCAGATGTCCTTTTTGAAACAGAAACATCCTAGACAGGATTGCATTACCTTATAAATAAATATAAAGATGCATTCTACAAGTTTACTATTCAACACTGTTCTACAGGTCCAATCCAATTTAATAAGACAAGAAAAAGGAGGAAAAGGGTATAACTATTGGAAATAAAAAGATGACAGGCACTATTTGCATATGATGTGACTGTTTTACATGTACGTGTATGTTATAAACATATATAACAAATATTCCAGAAAATTAAAAAATCCTAACAATAAAAGAATTCAATAAGGAAGCTAGCTACAGAAATAAATAGCATTCAAAAAAATGTAATAAAAAGGCATCCTTCCCAAAAGCAACAAAAATATGTCCAAGGATTAAACTAATACAGAATGTATTTAAAAATTATAAAATTGTATAGAAAGATTTAAAGAACATCTGAATAAATGGGGAATCCATGTTCCAGGATAAGAAGCCTCAAGATTATAAAGATGTCAATTATCGAGATAATCTAACTGCTCTAGAAAGTAAATGCAATCCCAGTCTAAATCATAACATAGCATGCTTTATGGAATCTGACAAGCTGATTCTAGAGTTCATCCAGAAAAGAAAATATACTAAAAAGCCAGGGTAACCCGAAGGCAAACCAAACACTTGTCCTACAAAATATCAAAACATATTATAAAGCTAAAGTAGTTAAAAGTGTGGCCCTGACTCAATGATAGACAATAAATCAATAACACAAAACAGAGCATCCAGAAATATGCTAGAAGAAAAATTAATAGGTGGCATTTCAAGTCAAGGGAGAGAGGATGAAGAATTTAATAAATGATATTGGGCCAACAGCCAGATATCTGAGAAACAACAAACATGAAATTGGAAATCTACCTCAAATTATATACAAAATTAATACTAAATAGATTAAAAAGGTAATTCTAATACTGTAAGTTTTAAACATATGTTGTTTCTACTTGCCTGAGTCTATTCCCTCATCTTCTGATAACAATACTCTAACTTCTCTTTAGTGAAAACCTTTGCTTTCATTGTATGAAGTCTTCATAGAACTATCAATCAAGGTTACCCCCTTCATCAGGCTAAGGGAGTGGAATTGGAGGGTTGTCACATAAAGGAAATAAAGCCAGTGAGACTCTTCTGGGATTTGAATCTTGAAGGGAATGATGCAAGGAAAAAAAAGTTGAGTGAATTTACCCCAGACTTCCCAGATCCCTGAACAAGATCTGTTTCCAGTCCATTTCCAAAGCCAGGGTTCTTGAGTTTTTCCTTTCTTTCAATGAGCTATCACCTCGTACTCTTCCAATACATTCTCTGTTGTGTCTAGGTTCATGTCAGATAAGTTTCCGTTGTTTGCAACTAAAAGAACTTGACACAAAACTCTAACCAACCAGAATCTGGCACAGGATATTATTAAAACTTTTAAAAGATACAGCAAAAAAATACAACGAAGTGAAAGAACAAGCAACCATGAGAAAATATTAACAACATATATAAACAAAGTATAATGCCAATATTATATTAAAAGTGCCTACAAATAAACAAACATAAGCAAATAACCCAATAACATGGGCAATATATGTATACAGGTAATCAATATAAATGTCTAATACACAAAAAATTGTTCAGCTTCGTTGGCAAAAAAAAAAAAACTAATTAAATAACCATGAAGTAATATTTTTCACTCAAGAGATTGAAAAAAATTAAGAAAAACCCAATATTAACAAAATGTAGGAAAGTGGTCACTTCATCAACTATTGACCAAATGTAAGCGAATGTTATTTTCTCAAAGGACTACTTGGTATAATATCCATCAAAATTTTAAACTGGCATTTGTTTTCTTTCAGTAGTTTCACTTCTAGAAATTTATCCTTTGGAACAGCATATGTTCACAAGAACATAAATACAAATACTACATGTAATAACAAAAATTGGAAATAATATAAACTTTGAAAAGAAAATTAAGTAAATTATAGCATATTCTTGGTAAGAAAAATGTTGGTGTAGTTAAGAACAAGGTAGATCTACATACATTAACATGGAACAATTTCCAATATATATAATTAAGCAGCAAATGTCAACAGCACAACAGTATGTTTGATATACTGCTTATGTTAAAACTAGTCTGTTAAGAGAAAAAGATATGAACTACACATATTCAGAAAATAAGGCTGAGTGCAGTGGATCATGCCTGTAATTCTAGCACTTTGGGAGGCCAAGGCAGGCAGATTACTTGAGCTCAGGAGTTCAAGACCAACATGGACAACATAGCAAAACTGCATCTCTAGGGAAAAAAAAAAAAAAAAAAAAGCTACAAAATACAAAAATTAGCCAGGCATGGTGGTGTAAACCTGTGGTCCCAGCTACTCGGGAGGCTAAGGTGAGAGGACAGCTTGAGTCTGGAAGGTCAAGGCTGCAGTGAGCCATGATAGTGCCATTTCACACCAGCCTGGGCAACATAGAAAGACCCTGTCTCAAAAAAAAAAAAAAAGAAAAGAAAAGAAAAGACATTTGTAATAAAGGTAAAGGTACAATGAAGGATCTAGCAAGACATACACCAAATCATTAAAAGTGATTTTTGGCCGGGCGCAGTGGCTCACGCCTGTAATCCCAACACTTTGGGAGGCCCATGTGGGCAGATCACCTGAGGTCAGGAGTTCGAGCCAGCCTGGCCAACATGGTGAAACTCTGTCTCTACTAATAATATCAAAAAATTAGCCGAGAGTGGTAGTGTATGCCCATAATCCCAGCTACTTGGGAGGCTGAGGCAGGAGAATCACTTGAACCTGGAAGGCAGAGGCTGCAGTGAGCTGAGATCATGACACTGCACTCCAGCCTAGGTGACAGAGCAGGACTCTATCTCAAAAGAAAAAAAAAAAGATGATTTTTACCTCCAGTAAGAATACAATCAGTACAATCAGCAGGGTACCAGTAATAATACAATCAGTACAATCAGCAGGGTACCAGTAATAGTACAATTAGCAGGGTACAAAGACTTTCTTGCCTTATTATTCTCTATACTTCTTTTACTTCATGTGTTTATGTCTTACATGTATACTACATTTTATTAAAGAAAGCAAGGTGTGAATACACCAAACAAAAGAATCCCTGACAGGCAAAACCCCTCCAAATTAAAAATTGTAAACAATACTTCAAATTTTTAAGCTTTTTCATGAAAATATCATAAAATACTTTATTATTCAGATGTGAAATTAAAGAAACTATAACTACTTTTTTTGTTAAAAAAAAAGTAAGAAATATCTGGCTTAACTGGCATTTAATGAAATTACATATTTTATATAAAATTTTGTAATAAAATTTAATAGAAGTATTTAATCCGAAGCGACTTAAGCAAGTTTCCACTACATAGACATGTTATTCATTAAATTCATTAACTCAAGGTCTTTTAACATCAACTGTCAATACTTTAAATCAAGAAATTTTCATTCATAGGAAAAGCTATAAAACACCAGCAAAAACTCTTCTGTATAGGCTCACTGAAATGTCTTTAGGCAGACTAGATTGCTGATTAGATTCTACGATATTAGAAACTCATTCTTAAAGTTTTTTCCAATTCCAATAATTTAAAATCATACACTAATTTGAATGTCTTGGCATCTTTTTCAAAATATGAAAGCCTTACTCTACAAATCTAAAAATCCAAAGCCATTTAAAAATAAATGTATGAAAAACTACCAAAATTAATCTGATTTTTGATAGATAAATTTTCCTAATAATAAAACATAAGATATATACCTGGGAAAAAAATTTGAACGTCTCAGCTGGTGGTTACTAAATTAATTGATTTCTAATTTTTCAGATAGTAAATATATGGCTCGAAAGAAAGCAAACTATAATAATTATATTTAGTAATTATTAATATAATTAAGAAACAAACAAATGTATTAAAGTATAAACTATACCTGATGTAGAGAAATTTCAGAAAAACATTCAAAGTGTATTTATTTCCTGTACTTTTCTTTCAACTAAATAAATGATAGAAAAGAAAAACATACTCTAACCTTTCTGTTTTGGATTTGCTGTCAATTTTGTACTGTTCAAGTTCTTGGTTAAGAGAATGCAGTTTTTCTTGAAGTCTCTTTTCACGATCTACACTTCCTTGATAAAATTTCATCTCTTTTTCCATTGCTTTCACTTTTTCTTCCATAGCTTTAAATTCATGAAGAATTAGATAGCTGACTCCACAGTACTTACAAACTTTTTCTTCAGGCAACATCTAGGAAACAGAACATACACTTACTAAATTTTTTTTTTAATTCTGAAAAATAAAGTTCAACTGAAGATATTGTAGACATGCTGGTTGAACGAAGTAAATATATAGTATACTATGCCTTGGAGCAATAATTATGACATTGCCCACATTTGTATAAAAATTTTTAAACAGGCATATTGAGTCTGACACAAAATCTTGGGATTAGAAAAAGATCTTTCTGAGCAATTGTTTCTCCACGGTATCTCTAAGAAAGATTTACTCTTACAATATTTCCCGTAAAATAAAACCAAAAATAGTGAAAAATGTATAATCTTTATAATTCTGGTTTTAAGATGAATTTTCCACAAAGTGGGAGGAAATCACTGTTCTTTAATTGCAAACTGCTCTGTTCTCCTGGCTTTTTCAGACCTTATTTTCCTCATTTGTAAAAGTATGACATTACACCAAATGAATTCTGTTTCTGTTCAGTTTCAGCATTTTATGATTTTTACAGAAATTTAACATTCTGTCATAAATCTACAAATAGGAAAAACACTTTGAACCTAATCTCTTCTCCCCAAGTCAGTTCTTAGTAGGTATTGTTATACCCATCTTATAGATTTAAAAAAAAAAAAACAAAAAAAAAAAAACAGAGACTACTGAAGTTAAATAATCGGCTGATATGTGGAGAAGCTGGGATTAAAACTCAGGTCTATTTAAAACCAGCACCTTTAACCAACTGTATATTGGATAGATACTCTTCCTTCCTTCAAATAAAGTGTTGTATGACTTCTGGCCAGCATAGGGCCAGTGAAAAATGAAATTTTAGCCAAGTCAGAAAGGAGATAGCTCTTTTTTCTGTTTCTCGTATAATATTTCTCAGTAGCCTCTGCTTGTTTTCCTATTCACAAAGGATAAGAGATGCTTCATAAAATACTTGCTCCAGGGCACTAAATTTGAAATTAACTCTTGGATTATACAAGATTTACTCTTAAAGTAACCTCCCTTGAAACTATAGAAACTGTTTCTGTAACTAATAGTAATGCCACCATATCTACCTACCAAAGTGATTACAGAAATGTCAACTGGAAGAAAATAACACATTTTTATAAAGTAAAATTTGGCTCCTTTAAACTTTAATAATAAAAATTTTAAATTAAAAACCATAATACAGTATTGTGGGATACAGATTAATGACTATATCAACTATCTAACTGCCACTTTGATTTATAAAACATCAGGTTTAAAAGTAATCATAAAGATAACCTGGTTCAAGTTCTACATGGATTCAATTCCATTAATCTACTTCAACCTAAATACGTTGTTGCCTATCCTTTATTTTAACATCCCAAATGATGGGAAACCACTTTCTAAAGCATTCTGTTCCATCTTCTGCCAGTTTTGTCTCTCAGGAAATCCTTTCTCAGGCTCATCACAAATCTGCCTCCCTGAAGTGTGCACCAGTTCCAGTCCTCTTAGAAACCATGTGTGACATCCCCAGGCCTCTTTCACACGAAGGTCTTTCTAACATTTGAAGACAGCTATCAGGAATAGTCCATGTCTTCTCTTCTTCAGGTCAACACTTACAATTCCTTCAGTTGAATTTCTTCCTCATTCTAGATTTCTCTAAATTTTTTCCAATACTCTACATGTGTTTCAAAGTATGGTGCCCAGAATGCAATAGTTTAGTGTGGCTGGTCTCACTGAAATAGAATAAGAGAAGACTCAAACTTCTCTCATTCTAATATCTCATTACTAACATCATTGTAATACGTTCTAATGAAACTTTAGATCTCATTGGTCTTTCATATTTTTAGCAATTATATTTTGCTTTTATATACTATAACTGGCTTTATGTTACATAAAACCCCTGATCTTAAAAATACTGCAGTGCAAACCAATGTCTCATTATACTGAATATACCAATTATTTCCTTTCTATCTATGTTTCCATTTTAGATAATCCACTTTCCACAGCCCTGGCTGCTATGTTTGGCAATGTGACTAAGACTCCCTCTACCCATCTAACCTAGCCATGGTGACTGGTGAACCAGGATTGGACATCAGACCCAGAAGGACCAAGCGCCAGCTGGTATGAGCCAACTGGGCCTGTAATTGTTGAAGATTCAGGCACTTAGGTCACCTTAGAAAATGTCATGTACAAGATACAAATTAACTAATATAACTAAAATCTGAGACATGAATGAGCACAGAGAAGCTGAGATGAGGACGCTGTAGCTCCAGAAAGACAGAGAAAATAAGGAACCCCAAACGCTTCCAGTTCCTCACTTCAGTCCCTCTTGAGACCTGGCTGCCCTACTTGCCATTTGGAATTCATGCCCAATCTTCCTCTACTATTTTCCCTTTTCTCCCTTAAGCTCCCTATTCCTTGCAACCAGAACTTTCCATTCTATTATGTCTGCATTTGGCTTTTCAGATCCAAGTACAAAACTACAGATGTAAATGTAAATATATAAAATACATAAAAATATATATCTTATATTATCTTAGACTCACATATATTTGAGTATATAACATAGATATATATGTTTTAGACATAGTTATTTCCTTTGGTTATTGCCTTAGTTATTGCCATTGGTATCCAGGAAATTCTAAGCTTCATGTCTTTTGCAAAGTTGATCCTTATAAGTCATTTTATGTATCTCACTCACTGATTTTAAAATGCTGAACTGACTAAGTTGAGGACAGAACTCCATAGCATGTAATATCACATTGGTTGATACTGTTCTATTATTCAGCACATTTCAGGTACAACTCTTAATCTGATCATTAAATTATCCAATTATCTTTGTTACCAGCCTATATTTATTTTATACTGTCTTCAGGAATATTATGACAGACTTTGTCAAATGTTTTCATAAAGTCCATATATTCTATGCCTAATATGGTTCCTGGATCTAGTAATCCTACATAAAATGAAATGGCAAAGCCTACAGGCTTGCTCTCAGTGAACATAAAATTGGCCCAAGGGTTATTGTTTTGTCTAATATATCCTCACAAACCATCCTTTCATAATATATTCTAAATCTTGTCTGTGATTGAAATTAAGCTAATTGGTTGTAATTTATGGGCACTGTATACATGAAATGGCATTTGTTCATTATCCTATTACTCTCTACACATCTTCAAACATAACCAAGAGTGGCTTTGCAATCCTATTCAAAGACACTATCGGCCCTCAGAAATATAATCCATCCACGTCAATAAACCTGAACTAATTAGGAACAGATGGATATTTTCTCAAAATTTTTGTCCATCTTGTATTTTGGTTTCTTCTTCTCAATTTGAAAATTGTTGCTTACTGTAAGTCACTTTCATCATTAATCCTTGCCTATTAATTGCAGTTCTTGCCCTGTTTCTGACAAAGTATCCTATCTTTATCCTAAAGAAAACTCTTGATGGGTGGAGTAGATTTGCAGACTGAAGAACGAAATAGAAATGCTATAAACTTTACATTGTGAAAGCTATTAGAATGTTATTTCATCATAGCAGTCAAGGGAGAAAAGGCTGAAATGTATTTTATGTGAAGCAATACATTTTAGAGAATAGGTTTTCTAGAAGTTCAGCAAGGAAAGAGAAAACATGATATTCATTACGATGCAAAAAACAAGACAATGTGATTTTAAAATAATAGGTCCACAAGAGTCGTCTTCTGACTTTACCTGAATCATTACATGAGCAATGTTAAATAAGCATATTGCATAAAATTTTTCAACGCTATTAAATTGTAAATAACATTCTGTAAGCAAAACTGCTATAGAAAAAAAGGTAATAACCCTTTCAAATTATTAGTGTCTATATGAGCTAATTACTTAGGGCATTTTTGTGAAACTTGAGAAGATATGAAATACTGTAATTATGTTCCCAAATGAAGTAAGTTATCTGCTTTTTGTGAAATACAATTTGTGCTTCATTCTTATAACTTGGTATTATATCTATATCATCCTCTCATTTTGAAAGTAAAATAATGACATGCTGTCATTCTTGACAAAAGGCCTATCATTAACAGGATGTTTTGGTGTTCTACAAGATGCACTTCGGAGGAGACAGTAACAAATGCAGTATATTAAACAAACGTAGAACCATTTGAAAATAAATTATGAAACAAACTTCTCAAATGCAGTGTTCATACTTCTAAAATTACAGTTATTTAATATGAAAATAATGGACATTTTTTTAAAAGGTTAAATTAGGCTTCAGATCCTTTTCAGAGCTCCTGTCTGTGCTTGAACTAGAAAAACTACTTAGTACCTTCCTGCTGCCCAGTTGTGGCATTCTCTATTTCAAAATCGTGCCTCCTGGCCAAGCATGGTAGCTTATACCTGTAATCCCAGTGCTTTGGGAGGCCGAGGTGGGTGGATTGCTTGAGCCCAGGATGAACCTGGGCAACATGGTGAGACCTTATTTCTACAAAAACTTTTTAAAAAATTAGCCAGGCGTGGTGGTGTGTGCCTGTAGTCCCTGCTATTTGGGAGGCTGAGGTGGGAGGACTGCTTGAGCCCAGGAGGCAGAGGCTGCAGTGAGCTGAGATGGTGCCACTGTACTCCAGCCTGGACAACACAGAAAGATCTTGTTCCAAATAAATAAATAAAATTGTGCCTCCTTCTCCCACCTATATGATGCTTTTTGTGCTCAGACAAGGAGGAAATAAACTATTCGCTGTAGATAAGAGTGATAGCAGTATGAAATATTAATCCTTCTAAGAGGTTTTCCATTCAATAAGATGCCTTTACTCAAAACAGTAAGTGTTTAGTAAATTTCATTCAGATTAGGAGAAAGTTTTTGAGATAGGGCAATAGATACTTCAAGCTCATTAGTCACACAGACCACCTGACTACTTCATAAAGCCATTAGGACCCTTCCTCATCATTAAGTTAGCCTGCTTATTTATTAATTTAAAAATCAATTTAGTAAAGGGCACTTACAAAAAAAAACCCTACAGCTTTATTATAATTAGTAGTAAAAGACTCAGTGCTTTTCCCCTAAGGTTGGGAAATGGCAAGG